AACTATTCATCCTCTCTGTTTTTTATTAATTTAATATTATTTCTATTATTTGTAACTAACATATTATTTTTCTTATTAATTAAATTTCTAATATTCGTAATTCTTTTTAACTGTAATACAACATTTTAAAAAATATATTTATTTAATATATACTACTTTCATCCCGAATTAACAATATTTCAAATATTTTTTTTCAATTTTCGTTACTTTAAGAGATAATTTGATATTATTTTTTATTTTCACTATAAAGAATGTACAAAATTTAAATGATAAGATGAAAATTTTTAATTTCAAAATACAATATATACATGACATAATAATTTAAATACAAGATAACAATAAGTACATAACATAATAATTAATTTGTGATGAAACAAGAATCATGTCGAAACGATATTGAACGTGCATTCGGTTTCAGATTTAATAAAAAAATAGTGTATGATCTAGAGAATTGTTGTGCTTGTGATTGCGGTTGTGCTTTGTTGATTTCTTGGTAATGTCCATACAAGCAGCATGCTATTATTGGTTTCTTACATGGATATAATTTCAGGTGCAGACGGTAAAGATAATGCATTCAAGTGCCTATTTAAGTTGATTAAGCTAGCACCGTAAACTCTAGTAAGACACATACCAAACACCTAGACAACAATGTACATAATGAGAGCAGAGCATTTATTAATCTGTGGATATATACAAACATGTCATTCACTCATAGAACAAATGATTTTAGAGAAGATTTCTTTGCTCAGTCACTCAGAGCACAAACACCTAAAAAAACACTATTTTTATAACAATCTTTAAGATGCTATGCTACAGGTCATTAAATTTCAGTTGCTTCCCATATACGTTTACTAATATTTGCACCCAAAATGGAGACAAAAGTTAATTCCAGTATTTACAAACCAATAACAACTCAAACTGAACTCAAAGAGAAAAAAAAATCTCAGCGTTTTCAAGAACCCCAAAAGAGGGCATTCTGAAAATAAAATGGTACTAGTACAACAACACAAATAAATGTACATCCCAAAGCAAAAAAACACAATCTTGAATTACGGCTGCATGTAGAGGTGTTCGATTGGATGGACCTGCAACATAAGTTGGTTCCTTGCAAACGTTCAAGATTTCAATCAAAGCATCATGAAAACCAGACTCTGCTGCCAAATAAAGTGGTGTCTCCCCAGCCTATTGGCTGGGAAGTCGTGTTCAGGATCTAGTAATAATTTCACCAACATCCTGACAATGTCAATGTGTCCACTTCTAACGGCCTTGTGCAAGGCCGTATCTCCAATGTCATCCGTCATCCTCACAAGTGTCTCCTTTCCTTCTATGCTAAGTAGTTCACTCACCACTTCACTTCGTCCTAAATTAGCTGCAATGTGAAGCGCAGTTTCATTTTTCTTATTCTTATAGCATAATAACGCCGGGGTAATCTTAAAGGACTTCTCCCACGAAACCTCGTTGGCCAAAGTGAGCTGCCACATTGAGGATTGTATTTCCCTTTGGGGTAACCACTTTCTTCCTTCCTTTTCAGATGATCAACAAGTGAAAAATCACCATCTTCCATACTCTCTTCCCTTGCAGCAATGTACATTCTTGGATCCATTATGTGTGGATATCCAAGGTGTCACAAAAGTCTTATTTCTTAAACTCTGTGCTCAATCAAACAATGTCACATAAATTGAGACAAATGAAGTATCTAGTTAAGTCAAAAGCATTGTTATATTGCATTTATGCAATTTTTTAAAACTAACATACTCATTAATATGTTCAGGTTCACATACAAAGCACGTATCCACTTCTCAAAAAAACAAAGCACGTATCCGGAGACTACTTGTTTATGGAGAATCACAATCATGAAGAGGCCCTTTAATACTGTTAGGACTGAAAAATAATTAGGTGTCACGCGGAAGCTAGCAAAGCAAACCTTGAAAGACCACGAGTAAGAAGATAAACGAGAAACACACCAGAAGAGACAGATTTAATGTGGTTCGGTCAATCGACCTACGGGAGGGGGGGGAGAGTACTTATGCATTTTCCCCATTATATTATGAACAACAGTAGTAGTCGAAACATAAATAAATTTCATGCCTATTAAAAAATAATAATTGACATGACTATTTTACTGTTCTATCCATATTAAATACGTAATGTTTAATATTAAATCTTGAAAACTGAGTTGGAAAATAAATAATTAATGCTAACGTTACTAATGAAAAATAATAATTTTCTTTTCTTGATATATTACAAGTGACAAATAAAAATAAAAATCTATTTTTAAAATAATGAAAGTGTAAAAAATGAACAAGGAGAGTATATCATAATTGAAATTGTTAGGCCGTGCGCGGAACGGGCATTCTTCATCTAGTTCAAATATAGTTTTTGACCATATATTATCTCTTAATTTTTCTTTGCTCTTTCATTTATTTGGCTGTTCATTTTTCAAAAGTTCCACATCATCAGACATCAATATCTAGCAGGTCCAATAAAAATATAACACCCTTCTCAATGTTGGGCTATTGCCCATGTCCAGCCAAAGGCCCATGGCCTAATCCTATTTGAAAAAGGATTGGAATTATTCTCTTTATTTGGTTTCCAATTCTATTAGGAAAAGGATTGGAATAGTAATCCTATTTGGAGTTGGTTTTGGCTTTGTAAGGAAAAGCACAACTCTATAAATAGAGGATGGTCTTAAGAGAATAATTCAGATTGCTCATTAGTATTGTCTTTTGAAAGACATTAGGACATAAGAGAGGTTTTTTTGAGAGAGCTTTTCAACAAGAGAGAAAAGAGAAGAAAAATGGTTCTTTTGCTGCAGTATTTTATTCCGACCAGCAACCTTCAGATTGTGTTTCCCGATTAACTAACCGTTGGATCGTACTTGTTAGGACTGAAAATTTGTACTGAGTGTTCCTGACATCTTGGTGGTTGATTTGAACGGTGGAGATCGGATTCGGAAGTCAGCAAGATCCTGTTTTAGGTCCTAAACAGCAGCTGGGTTTGGGTGGTGTTTCTTTCTATTTATCTTTTGTTGGTGTAGTTATTGTTTGTTCTCTTTTGGCACTTGTTGTGTAGCCATTAGAAGAATAATTGTAACTCTCTTATTGTTATAGTGAAGCAATTCGGATCTTGTCGATCCCGTGGTGGTTACCTTCGTTTTGAAGGATTTTTCCACGTTAAACTTGGTGTTCTTTATTTTAGATTTTCGTTTTCATCTTTTTGTCACAACAAGTACTATTAAGATTTAAGAACATAAAGTTTCTTCTCCTAGCGAACTTAAGCATATTGCTTATGAACAACTTTAAAAAAATTTATGTACTCCCTCCGTCTCATTTTATGTGGCACTTTTCGGATTTCGAGATTCAAACAAGTCTATCTTTGACCGTAAATTGTTCATAGATCTCTTAAGCATTTTGAATTATCAATTATTGTGACTTATATAGTACTTTTTACGTAGTTTACAAATATATAAATTTTATTTCAAATCGGACATTCGAAGCACAAATTCTCTGTCAAATTTAAATTGTTTGACTCTCGAAAAACGAAAAGTGTCACATAAATTGGGATATGGGGAGTAGTTTATTTTTGTTTCCAATGTACCAAAAGAAATTATGCATAACATCCAAAAATAAGATCAACAATCCAAATTAAGAAAGGGGATTGCAAAAGTTGAGTCCAGTAGTTACCAACCAATGACTCAAACTGAAAATTCAAAGGGGAAAAAACCTCAGCTTTCTTTCAAGTAAGAGAAATTAAATGACATTTTTGTACATTCTACAACATTAATAACACAAGATTTAAAAGTCTTGTTTATTTTCTTAAACTTTGACAAATTAAAGTAACACAAACAAATCAGAAAAGAGGAAATAGTACACAACAAAGATAAATACACACATTTTCTCACTTCCAAGATAAAAACACAATCTTTATCAACACCATGTACTAAAAATCCAGTCTTTAACTCATATTCATTCACAAAAAGCAAACCCCAGATGGAAAAAATAAGTATTTAGGTAAAACCCAACATGGGAAAACTGTAAAACTAAAGAAAGATTTGATTAGGTAGCTCTTCAACATAGCTTTTTTTTTATTATTTGGTTGATAAAATCTAAAAGACCAGTTTAACCCTTATAGGTGTTTTTTCTTCTTCTTGTTTCTTTTCAAGTCTAAAACCCAACAAAGATTCTTTGATTCCTTAGTGGGTAAGAACATAACATAATACAACAATTTCTTATGGCATTCTCACACTTTATGACTCAATTGGGGAATTTTGATGTTTAATTATCACATGTTCATACATGTGGCATACTATTATTGGCTAGGAAATTGCTAGGATGGACCTACTTCAAGTCTCAAGGATAACAACCATTGGTGTATGATGATAGAGAAAGGGAGTGAGACAGAGAGGAAGTAAATAATTAAAGAAATCAAAGAGGACAAAGAAAATGTGCAAAATTTGTTTTTAGTTTTATGTCTTTTTATACTATGGATCTTTATTTTTATATTTAAAATATCTAAAAATGATCATTTTTTTAATATTCAAATTGTAAGTGGTTAGAAGAGATTATTTCCGCGTTAAAGAATGGACGTCATAAGAGATTGCAAGTATTTGCTTAATGCCATCGAGATGAATATCATCCATATCCGGAGAGAAGCAAACAAATATGTAGGTTTTCTGGCAAATGAAGTCCATAAATGAAGAAAACTTGTTAATATAGGACAATGTGATTATGAATATTTAATTTTTCATGGAACCCAAGTTTTACAAAATATATTTTCCGGTCTAATCTTGACATTTTATTTTTGAGGAAAAAACAAAATTATAAACAACAAAAAAAGGTTTTGAATTAAAACATCAATAGTAAAGTTCTTGACATAATGTTTTTCATCTAGTCTAGTTTAAGTTAAAGAGTCTTTAATACCATAGTTTGAAGAATAATCACCATTCTAGATTTTTCAAAGTTCAATACAAAGTCACTAAATAATCTTGAACATACAAAGAAGTACTTATTTAGCACTCAATATTTATACTAGATCATATAATCTAATCATAATTTAATACATATTTGGGCCAAGTATTTGGTGGCAACTTGGGCATGACTACAAAGTATGTTTGTTGGCTCAATAGGCCTAAAAAGCAAGAGCTCTTAAGAGTTTCTTCTTAGCTTTCTACCCAAAAGATAATCCAAAAGTACATAAGAAAAGAGACACAACCGATGACACAAACACTAACAGCAAGATCAAGTGAATTTGCTAAAGTAGCATACATACCAGTTACAAATGCAATTACAACAGCACCCATTGCCAAAAGTTGCAAAGAACCTGCTATTATATAATAACTCTTTAAAACTTTGAACCAGTCCCGTTCATATTCTTCATCTTCGGCTACATCACAATTTGCCATGAAGAAGTAGATGAATATAGCACCAGCTGAGAATGCAAATGCCAGGACATCTGAAATAACAAATGCACGAAAAGCTGCTTTTCTTAATAGAATCGCCATCCCTTTATTAGGACTGTCTTCGTTGTATAAACCTCCTGGCAATGTGAAGCCAGCTGCGAAAGTGACTGTCATTAGGAGAGTAGCTACAACTACTTGTATTTGAGCTGCCTTCATAATTTTTTCTATTTCTATTTTGTCTCTCTTAGCTTTGTCATCATCATCCCCCTTTCTCCTCATCTGTTGTATGTTACCAATCGTTTCTGTTTTCCGTTTTACCTTGAAGTCACGTTGTCCCAATAGTCCATTTATGCTGTACAAATCGCCTACCAATTTCTCCTAAGATGTGACATGTAGTAATAAAATTGATCAGCTGATGAAAATATAATAGTACTTGAGAAAAAGATGAATTAATAACTACTTTCTCTGGTTCATTTAATTTTCGTCCTTACCAAAAATAGATAGTCCAAAATAGTTGTCATTTTCAAAAACACAAAATATAATTCATTGTTACTCTAGTTTTTATCTTTATCAACAACAAGAATATACTCAGTGTAATCCCTACTCCGGAGGTAGGTGTACGTAGACCTTATAATCCCTACCCCGGAGATAGAGAAGTTGTTACTGATAGAACCCTCGGCTCAATGAAAAACAGATCAAAGCAGTTCAATAACAGAAATAAAGGAATCATGACAAAGCATACTGATGAACAGTTTTCATCTTTACGCTTAATAAATATCACTACTAAAGCAGTGCAAAAACCAATCAAAGGAAACCACCCTTTCAAGATTGCAAAATATAATCGATGATATGCAACAGAAGATGTCACGAATAGTCACTACTATAGAGAAAGTAATGGAGTTGCAGATGCTCTTGCGAAGCATGCCACCACCCTTAAGAAGATAAAATTTTCCTACATAAAGAAGACCTTCCTAAGGAGGCTATTGGTTCCCTTTGAATGGATAAGATCCAGCTCCCGTCCTCTCGAAAACAAGCAAAAAAGCACTCTTCTTGGCGCTACGATCCCCCATGATTCTCTTACTTTTGTAGATGCCAGTATGTTTAGGCTAAAGCTACTGATTACTTCTATAGCAATTCAATGTGCCAGAACTCTTAGTCTTAGACAAGATCTCTTAGGAGCATTAACTCCTCTGTATGCTCTCTTTTTGTGTCTAGAGGTTAGGTTGCCATGTCCCCCTCTAATTCTATAATTTTTGCTAATCTTATTTACATTGTTGATTAAAAATAAAAAAAAATAAAAGGAAACCAACGGACTGAGTCAGTTCAAAGAAATGGGGAAAACCGATCCAGTCCGTCATGGACAAGAGGGAGTACCTTCTTTATTGTCCATGTACGAGACAATGCTATGTCAAGTGGAGTCTGATTTTGTTTGTTAAATATCATCTTCTTTGCGATAGGATGGTATAATATCATTTGAGGCACACGGTTCCCAGAGGCAGCAAGCAAATGGAGTGGAGTATTGCCCTCATTATCTGCCTCATCAACAAGGCTATTACAAAATTCCCACTCAAGTAACACCATGACGAACATTTCGTGACCGTTCAATAAGGCAACATGAAGTGCATTTTGACCATTGCTATTAAGCATTTCCCAACAATCTGGGCAGTGGTTTAATAACTCAATTATCATGAATATATCACCTTCACTAGCAGCAATGTGAAATGTTGTCGTCCAGTCATTTTCACTGCCTGCCGGAAGGTAGGCTGAAGATTTCTTCCATCCCAACATATCGGAAACTATTTCTTTCAATCCTTGTTTAACAGCATAGTGTAGAGAATTCCAACCCCATTTATCAGATGCTTCACATAAAGGTTTATTCCATTGCCATAGTGATCTCGCGCATTCTGGATATATTAGTCAAATATTATATATATATATATATATGATATATGATGATAAATGAATGTATTTTTTTCGTTTAACAAGATCATAAAGTATGCCTGTAGGAGTATATTTAGAGACAAATATAGCTTCTTTCTATTAGTAGAGGGACAAATTTACTCATTTTCCATATTATATATGATGAAATCATCCAGAAGGTACTTACCCGTGTGTTCTTGAATTACGGCTGCATGTAGAGGTGTTCGATTGGATGGACCTGCAACATAAGTTGGTTCTTTGCAAACGTTCAAGATTTCAATCAAAGCATCATGAAAACCAGACTCTGCTGCCAAATAAAGTGGTGTCTCCCCAGCCTTATTGGCCGGGAGGTCGTGTTCAGGATCTAGTAATAATTTCACCAACATCCTGACAATGTCAATGTGTCCACCTCTCACAGCCTTGTGCAAGGCCGTATCTCCAATGTCATCCGTCATCCTAACGAGTATTGTCTCCTCTCCTCCTAAGCTAAGTAGTTCACTCACCACTTCACTTTGTCCTAAATTAGCTGCAATGTGAAGCGCAGTTTCATTTTTCTTATTCTTATAGCATAATAATACCGGGGTAATCTTAAGGACTTTTCCCACGAAACCTCGTTGGCCAAAGAGAGCTGCCACATGGAGGATTGTATTCCCTTTGGAGTGACTTGGTAACCATTTTCTTCCTCCCTTTTCAGATAATCAACAAGTGAAAAATCACCATCTTCCATAGTACTCCCTTTCTTTGCAGCATTGTACATTCTTGGATCCATTATGTGTGGATATCCAAGGTGTCACAAAAGTTCCTTGTTTCTTTTATGTGAGACAAATGAAGTATCTAGTTAAGTCAAAAGCATTGTTATATTGCATTTATGTAATTTTTTAAAAGAGAAAAGACATAAATTCACTATTTAACTTGTCCCGAATTTTCAAAACGATATCTTAACTTTGCAACCGTCTTATTACCCTACTAAACAATTTTGAACAGATATTATTATATTATTTTTCGATCAGCCTCAGATTTTAAGAAGCAAGTGTGTTCACACACCAATCATTACATGACACGTGTTAATTTAATTAAAAATATATTTTTTTCATTTTAAGTTTTTTCTTTACCTTTTCTCTCTTTCTTACTTTTGACTTATTTTAATTTTGATTTCATCTTAAATTTCATTTTCTTTCTTTTTCTTCATCTCTCACCGTCACCCCACCCCCCACGTCAAGTTGAACCCTCTTTCATTTTTTATTTTTTTTTCTTCTTCTTCAGTCAAATTCTTTATTTCAGTGATTTTTAAAATCATACTATTTTCTAGACTTTATTGAATTATTGATAACAAAACTAATTATTTTTCTAAGAAAATTTAAAATTTTGAAGGTATCATCAATTACTCCTTTTCATATAACTTCAAATTATAAATTATAATTTTAAAAGAATCAATGAATTTTCCGAAAATTGAAAGAACTTAATTGGAATCGGATAAAAAAAATTATATGATATTTCCTAATCATCTTGAAATTTAATGGGTTTATCAAATTGTTCGAAATGTAAGAAAATATTTAGATAAAGTTTTAAAATTAAAGAGAGTAAAACTAATAGTAGTAAAAAACAAAAGAAAGGTGAAGTTGTGGTAAAAATGGTGACATTGAAAGTGAGAAGCTTCAATAAAAATGACAATGAATTTTTGAAGAAGAAAGAAGAAAGAAAGAGAAAAAATAAAAAGGAAAAAAAGTTAAAATAATAAGAAAAATAAGAAAACATATTTTATAATAAAATACTTGTAAAAATAAAATTATATTAGTTATTTTAGATTGCTCACTCTCTTTGAGAGAGTGTACACGCTCTCTATGTGAAGTGGACAATGTAATAATATCAGTTCAACATATTTTATAATAAAATACTTGTAAAAATAAAATTATATTAGTTATTTTAGATTGCTCACCCTCTTTGAGAGAGTTCACACGCTCTCTATGTGAAGTGGACAATGTAATAATATCAGTTCAAGATTGTTTAATGGGTAATAGGACGCTCGCATAATTAAGATATCTTTTTGAAAATTCGAAACAAGTTCAAGTGTCACTTTATATACTCATTAATATGTATATCCAGAGACTACTTGTTTATGGAGAATCACAATCATGAAGAGGCCCTGTAATACTATTAAGAACATAAAGTTTCTTCTCCTAGCGAACTTAAGCATATTGCTAATGAACAACTTTAATTTTTTTTTTATGTAGTCTATTTTTCTTTCCAATGTACCAAAAGAAATTATGCATAACATCCAAAAATAAGATCAACAATCTAAATTAAGAGTCCAGTTACCAACCAATGACTCAAACTGAAATTTCAAAGGGGAAAAAACCTCAGCTTTTTTTTCAAGTAAGAGAAATTAAATGACATTTTCATACGTTCTACAACATTAATAACACAAGATTCAAAAGTCTTGCTTATTTTCTTAAACTGGAACAAATTAAAGTAACACAAAGAAATTAGAAAAGAGGAAATAGTACTCAACAAAGTTAAATACACATTTTCTCACTCCAAGATAAAAACACAATCTTTTTTCAACACTATGTACTAAAAATCCCATCTTTAACTCATATTCATTCACAAAAAGTAAACCCCAGATGGAAAAAATGAGTATTTAGGTAAAACCCAACATGAGAAAACAGTAAAACTAAAGAAAGATTTGATTAGGTAGCTCTTCAACATACCTTTTTTTTCTTTGATTGATAAAATCTAAAAGACCAGTTTAACCCTTATAGGTGTTTTTTTCTTCTTCTTGTTTCTCTACAACGCTAAAACCCAACAAAGATTCTTTGATTCCTTAGTTGGTAAGAACATAACATAATACAATAATTTCTTATGGCATTCTCACACTTTATGACTCAATTAGGGAATTTTGATGTTGCCTTAATTATCACATGTTCATACACGTGGCATATTATTATTGGCTAGGAAATTGATAGGATGGACCCACTTCAAGTCTCAAGGATAACAAGTAACAACAATTGGATTATGATGATAGATAAATGGAGTGAGACAGAGAGGAAGTAAAATATTAAGCAATAAAAAAGGACAAAGAAAATAGTCCAAAATTTGTTTTTAGTTTTATGTTTCTTTTGTGATGGATCTTTATTTTCTATATATAAAATATCTAAATGCGGTCATTTTTTTCTATCCAAATTGTAATTGGTCAGAAGAGATTATTTCCGCATAAAAGAAAGGACGTCATAAGAGATTGCAAGTATTTACTTGATGCCACCAAGATGAATATCATCCATATTCAGAGAGAAGCAAACAAATAGGTAGGTTATCTGACAAATGAAGTCCATAAATGAAGAAGACTTGTTAATATAGGTCGATATGATTATGAACATCTAATTTTTGATTGAACCTAAGTTTTACACTATTTCAATGTATCTTTCAGGTCTAATCTTGACATTTTGACCTTTTATTTTAGTAGGTATAATTTGGGGGAAAAGGAAAGTCTTGAATAGTTTGATTTCTTAAACATGAATAGTAGAAGTTCTCAAAATAAACAATCATATTTTGGAGAATAACTACCATTCTAGATTTTTTCAAGTTCAACACAAATTCACTAAATAATCTTGAACATACAAAAAAGTTGTACTTATTTTGCTCTCAATATATTTATACTAAATCATATAATCTACCATAATTTAATATATATATTTGGGCCAAGTATTTGGTGGCTACTTGGGCATGACTACAAAGTATGTTTATTGGGTCAATGAGCCCAAAAGGCAAGAGCTTTTAAGAGTTTCTTCTTGGTTTGCTCTGGTTCATCAGAGATTGGGAATACAATACCAATGTATACTACTCCCTTTACAAGTGGAGTTTGATATGGTGCATACGTAGTCTTACTCCTATTTTATGAATGAAGAGAGGATGTTTTTATAGACCCTCGGACTTTGGCTCAAGTAAAGCATATAAAAAATCAAACATGTAAATCAAATATAGTATCAAAAAATCATGTTGGAAATAATTAAGAAGAGAACAAGTAGTGAGCGGGGCAGGTGATTTTTGGTTGAAATGAATTGAGTTTAATATTTTTTATTTTTGGCTTAAAAAATAAGGTAAAGTGGCTGAACATATCAATTTCCTCCTTTAATGCCCTTTTTAAAAAAATGAATAAAAGATAAGTGATATATTATATTATTAAAAAATATCCTAGGTTGGTGACTTCTATTGCATTTACTGAACTAAGTCAATGGGGGTTCAATAAGGGTCATGGTTTACGTTGGTAACTACCATTGCAATTTGGAGGGGTGCCCGCCGAAACCCGACCCAAATGGTTGAACTTATATCATACTGCATTGGTGCGGCCCTACCAAAAAAAAAGGAGGGAAAAAGACTTTGTTCATTTATTTTAAATAACTTTGTTAACTATTCAAGCAGTGAACTCTTTTTGTATATTTCATTGTTTCTTCAATTGGATTTATTTTATATATTGGTTCGAGACATGAAAATAGCTTGTTGGAAAATGCAGGACAAGATTTGGAGTTTGGAACCTAAATAAGCAACAAAAAGATAAAAGTGACCAAAATAAGTCATTATTCTAGTAACTAACTAAAATAGGGTTAGTGGAAGAAAAAAATCCGTTTTATGCAATATTCCAAATGTTTTCCGTTAGTCTCATAACGTGTATATTTTAATATATAACGGAACTATTTTTTACACCTTGTAAAACGAAATTATTTATTACACTTTGTAAAGTGGAAGTTTTTCTTACACTTTATAAAGTGGAAGAAAATTTTACACTTTAAGAAAAGTTACTTTACCTTTTCACTTTCTTTGTCTCCCCTTTCACTTTCATGGTTCACTTTCATCTTCCAAACGTTTTTTCACTTCGAAGATGTTAATTTGATGGTCCCAATCCGACAACTAAAGCGACCCCACACTAAAAAATCAAAATCTTGAAAGATTGGAGTAGCACAACCGAACAACACAACAATCCGACCCTACAAATTGCATAAATTAGATATTAGAAAAATTGGTAGATTGAGTTATTGAAAATCCATCAACGCTATTACGATTTTCTAATTATGGATGGACATCGACCGATAAAAGAGAACATTGTTGACTAGTCTTAGGCTCCTTTCTAACATAGATTTCAAGTATTGTTAACTTGATTTGATCTATATAGTCATTTGGAACCCTCAAAAAATCGGTCAACGATTCGTCATTATAGATAACTCACTCTCCAAAATTTACTTGTCCTTGTGATAAAAATGAAGTAGGGTATTTTCCGACTATAATCAATATTGATACTGAATGCAATGCTGTGGCAAGTCAGTTTATTGAAAGTAATTTTAATCGATTTAACTAATTGCTCCCTACGCTTGTGATTGAAAATTTGCATTAAAGGAGTTTAAGTTATGAACATCATGCTCTACTTAGACACAGCAAGAATGGTAGATCAGTTTAAGTAAAACAAGAGAGACAACCATGAGATGATGCAGAGGAGGGTGAAAGGGAACAATGTATTAATTACAACAATACAGTATGATATATTATGAAACAATATGTTACAATCATCCAAACAAAGTGTAAGTAAGTAGACTCATGGTACACTTTTTTGGACAAACACATGGCTACCTTTATTGAGTCCTAAAGAAATCAAACATTGGGTTTTGTTGAAATATATTAGAGATTATAACAAAGAGATTGCAAACAGCTGACTGAAGATTGTTATTAGTCTATTATTAGTCAGTTAACTTGACGTGAAAGTTAGTTAGGCTGTTAAGAATATTCTAGAAGATGACTTTACTGTAAATAAGTCAATTAGTACATGTATATATATAATATGATCCATCTGGAGTTAGTTAGAAAATATACAGTGTAAAACTATGTAAATCTTTGAGGCGTTGATATGAAATTGAGATCTATTCTTCTACTGTGATTCAATTATGATTGAGTGATTAGAATTCAGTTTGTAACATGGTATCAGAGCTTACGGGTTGAGAATTGTCATTCTAATTTCTGTTTTTGTAGCTTAAAATTCCTGATCAATGTCGAAAAAGATCGATCATGATCATCCTCTGTTTCTGGCTTCTTCCGATGTACCAGGAGCTGTGCAGATTGAGATACAACTTACCGATGTAAGTTTTAAGTTCATTAGTAATAAAAATAGCAAAACCCAAAAAAATAAAAAGTAATCCTGCTACAAGTTAAGTTTTAAGTTCATTAGTAATAAAAATAGCAAAACCCAAAAAAATAAAAAGTATCCTGCTACAAGTTAAGTTTTAAGTTCATTAGTAATAAAAATAGCAAAACCCAAAAAAATAAAAAGTAATCCTGCTACAAGTTAAGTTTTAAGTTCATTAGTAATAAAAATAGCAAAACCAAAAAAAATAAAAAGTATACTGCTACAAGTTATAATATCCAATGATGACAACAAAAAGTTATATTGTCTATATATATAAGTAAAAAATATAATAAAAATGAACTATACTCATCAATAATTCAATATACTTTGAATCTAATTATCTGACGTTTTGGTACTTTTAAAGATCATTTGTTAAGATGTCTCATAATTTAAATTATATTTTTTGGTTGAAGGTATAAATTTAATCTCAATTTTGATCCTAAATATTCCATCTTAGTCATCCAACTTGGTATTATTTAATTTCATCTCCTAGATGAAATAAATTATATAGTAATTTGGGGAGAATATGAGGGAGAATGGATGAAATTGTTTCTGGAAAATAATGAAATGAGGGAAAAAAAAAAGAGTAATTAGGATTTAGGGATTTAGTCTATGTGGCCGTGGAAAAAAAAAGTAATTAGTATTGGCATGCAATGTGGCATTCACATGGCATTTAACAACTTCCGTTAATAAGAAGGGTACTTTTGACCCAATAGTTTCACGGGAAGGGTAGTTTTGAGCCGAAATATAGTTTAAGGGTAAATATGAGCTATTTCAGATAGTTTAAGGATATTTTTGACCCTTTTCCGTTTGCAAAATTTTACCACATAGACATAGCATTTCACTTTGATAAAAAATAAATAAACTATCAATATTAGTTAAAAACTAAATTATATAGTATAACTATTCCAAATATATATATATATATATATATATATATATATATA